GGGGCGAAAGTACAGGCCTTCTGTTCACCCTCATGCAGCTGGGGGGGAAAAAAAGAAAAACACACACTGAGTCTATTCCCCTCAGACGGCTCTCTCCTACACGCTGCTCTTTCACATTTACATTTGTTTCCTTTATTTTCTTAAGCACACACACTGGCTCATCGGTTGTGGAGTCGGCCATCTTGTTACTCTGTGGGCAGAGATCCATTCCAAAGCAAAAATATTATTAACTTTTCCTCAAAATTCCCAATGCCAAAATCCACCACTCAGAACAGAAGTAATTTTGTCACATACTATTGTTTTCTTATTTGAGCTTTTAGGTCTAGAATCAAAAGATTAAAAGAAAACATTGTATTTTATATAATATTTTAAGCCTCTTTTTAGGGCCATTAAGATTTCTCTGCATTGTTATTCTCTTTTTTATGAATGTAAATTAAATTATTAATATAAATCGGTGTAATTATTGTAATTAGTTACATTAAATTCAGTACAACTTTTTATATATTACCATGATGTATAAATATGTTACAATTTAAATAATATATAATTGTTTTGCATAAAATGTAAAAATTGTCACTGCACAAGATCTTAATGGTCCTAAATAAAGTTGCTTTTATTTTGGGGTGAAAATGTTTGAAATATTTATAATTTATCAATGTTTTGCCAACTTTTTACCTTTGCTTTTAAGTGCTAGAAAATGTGCATAAAACATATGTCACATCTTAGTGACCACAGTCCAGGTGACTGAATGTAATAGTAATGAGTGGGGAAAAAATTGTTCATCAATTTTGTCGTCTTTAGGTGAATGTGGGGAAAATGGACTCACCCATAGAGAAGTGGAATCTTATTATTGGGAATTTGGCGCTGAAACAGGTAAGAGCTTTCAGTAGGGTTACATGTACTGTAGACTGTAAACAAGCAAACGCCATCAGGAACCTTAAATACGTTCACACGGTTATTTTGCATCAGGGTTTTTACCTGGAAAAGATCTTATCAAGATTACGGGTTTCCATATTTACACAGATACTAATAAAACAAAGACGAAGTGTCTGTGTAAGTGTATATATAATAAGTAATTAAAGATAAAATACAAAATAAATGTATCTGTAATATTTACATTTATGTATAACTTATATTATTATATTATTTTTGTAATATTATTTGGCCATTTTATCTTTAAAATATATTTTTTCAAATATATAAAAATTACAAATATAAGAAAATAATTAAAAACTAAATTAAATAAACAAATAATAAAATATCTATTTATATATTTAATAAAATAAAAAAGTATATATATTTTTTTAATAAATGAAACCCGTTGTTATCTCTGTCTGTCTCTCTTTCTCAGGTGCAGGCCACAGTAATAGGGTTCCTGGCAGCAGTAGTGGCTGTTGTACTGGGTTGGATTCCTGAGGGAAAGTTCCAGATCAGTCACGCCGTCTTGCTGTGTTCCAGTAGTGTCGCAACAGCCTTCATAGCATCTCTGCTGCAGGGTCTGTACAGCAGATTAACCTCTAATACTCTTACATGTATTTACTAAAGCGTTTCTTTTCACAACAAATAATGAGCTACATTGTTAAATCACAATACCACATGTACCACAATAGTCATGTTTGTTATTAGTAACGTTTCACATTATGAATGTCCAGTTCCAAGTGAGTAAGGTGAACAATGTCTCTTCTCTTCAGGTATAATAATGGTGGGTGTGATTGTGGGCTCTAAGAAGACAGGCATCAACCCTGATAATGTAGCCACACCCATCGCTGCCAGTTTTGGTGACCTCATCACGCTGGCCATCCTGGCATGGATCAGCCAGGGCCTCTACAACTGCCTAGGTGAGAAAGATGTGTATAAAAAGAAGGGCTCTGTTCCAAACCCTAGTGAGCTGCCTAGCTAGATAGCATTTTTGGCATCATATGTACACTCAAATTCAAAGTATGCTTGTACATAGTAACCTCAAATGAGTTCCATTTCGGTTAGGATGCTGCCTTCGAAGAAAGCCACCTATGTAGACAGC